TTTTTCCCCTTTATTCATAAAATACACATTTAAGGCTTATCTCTTACTTTCTTCCATTTCTAAAACATTTTGGTTATTTGAAAAATGTAAATCTAGCCATCACTCATTCAGATTAAACAGTCACTTCCATCTACTGAGGAGAAGGGATGGTTAACAGAAACCAGTGAAGATAATTACGCAGCCATGGGTGGTTAAAAAACTACAGCAGAAGAGTCTAAATTCTGAACAGGTGAAACTGGTTAACTATAACTTCAAAGGGAGGCCCTTCTACAGTCTGCTGATGAAACATCAAGGAAGCAAACAGTTGAAATATCAGTAGGAATAGTCAATTCTGATCAAAACAGAAAGAATCTCAGGTCATCTTTTCTCTGACAGCTGATAGTGTGGTCTATCAAAAACATGCAAAAAGATAAATAATATAAATTATTATTATAAAACCATTGTGTTAGAACCCAGAGGAAAACCCCTGTTATTTTGGTATATTTCTTATTTTCTATATGCATAGCAAATTTTTGTTTAAAACTATATTACACTTATGCATTTTGATCTAAAACCTATTTTTAAAGACATTATATTCAATCATGTGGGTGTCCTAAAACTTAACTGAGTTCTCACTTTTGGACGCTAAAGATGTTTCAAGTTTTCAAATAAGTGTTGCAACAAATATACAAAAAACTTGGGGTATACTTCTGATTAATTCCTTAGGATAAACTCAAGAAGTAGACTTAGTGAATGAATATGAATCTTTTTAAAGCCTTCCTGAAATATACCATTAAAGTGCCTTTCAAAATGGTAGCACCAGCTTTTTAATGAATTTTAAAATAAATTTATGAATCGTTTGCTCCTTTTAGTGCAACCAGATGCAATTTGAATAAGGAGACTAAGTTTCTTCGAAAACAAATAGCAGAATTAAAGTAAATAAATTGCACAGTCAAATTAATTGATAATTAAGCATGTTTTAATACATAATGGGCTTTACAGTCTACAAATTTGTTTCCTTGAGTTATATTTTGGGTTTCTGACATTACTGAATTTTGATTGTGTTTTTAATTAAAAGTCTGTATTCCGATTACAAATCATTGGTATTTAGAATCCTGATAAAAGTTACCTCTGAATCTAGGACATAGTGTCTAATGGCCACAACAGTGAACCATCTCTGTAAATGAATGCTACCTGGAGACAGAAACTCTCTTAAGACAAATCTGAAAAATCTGAGAAATGTTTTAAACAAAAAGTACAAATATTTTTTCAGTCATTCAAATGCTATTTTTATACTAAAACAAACCAAAAACTCCATGTCAAATAAAAAAAGGAGAGGGGAGAAAATCATAGGAAAAATTCTAAGAAAGTAAAAAGTAGGAAGATCAAAGCCAAAAAAAAAGTAGAAATGCTAAAACATTCCATAAATGAGAAAACTTAATATAACAGGAGCATTAACAGAGGTAACAATAGAGTCCAGTCAGCAGAAGGAGGTTGGAGTGAACAAGAAGAACCAAAACAATGGAATAATTAGATAGGAGAAAGTGAATAAACAACCAAAGATCATTTGCGTTACAATACAGTGTTATTTCTCTCTTTTGGCTACACAATTATTCAGCCACCTCAACTAAGTAGGACATTGCTGAGAACTAGAAAACAAGGAGGGAAAGGTTCTGAAAATAGTCAAAACTAACAATCATACTACACAAGCTCAAGTGCTTCTCTCATAACAATCACTTTAAATCCTTATTTTAAATAGAATGCTAAGAGGTTTGGTTATGACTTCTCTGTCTGTAGCATATTAAAAGTAGTAGGTCAGAAGCAAGGAACGATTTCCATAGAGTGGTACACTGAAAATACATACCATCATATTTGCCAGTGACAAAGGATATACACAAATCACTGCCGCCACCACCAACAACGAAAAACTCAAGAACTGAAAAAACACAATAGTCTCAAAATAGGAGGAGGAGGAATAGACAAATCAAGCTTTACAATTGGCCCTAAATCCTAAATGCATCAGAAAATGGCATCCTTAAGAGATGAAAATGTTAAAAGTATAATCAGTGAGTTCTGATTTCTTTCTTTTCTATCTTTCTTTTCTCTTCCCTTCCTTCTGTCTCTCTCTCTTTTCCTTCCTTCCCTCCCTCCCTCCTTTCTTCTCTCTTTTTCTCTCTTTCTTTCTTTCTTTCTTCCTTGAGACAGAGTCCCACTCCATCACCCAGGCTGCAGTGCAGTGGCATGAACACAGCTCACTGCAGCCTCCAACTCCTAGGCTCAAGTGATCCTCCTGGCTCAGTTTCCCAAGGAGCTGGGACCTCAGGTATGTACCGCCATGCCAAACTAACTTTTAAAATTACTTTTATTTTTATTTATTTACTTTATTTATTTATTTTTGAGACACAGTTTTACCCCGTCGGCCAGGCTAGAGTATAGTGGCACAATCTTGGCTCACTACAACCTCTATCTCCTGGACTCGAGCAATTCTCCTGCCTCAGCCTCCCACGGAGCTGGGATTACAGGCATGTGCCACCATGCCCAGTTAATTTTTGTATTTTTAGTAGAGACAAGGTTTCACCATGTTGGCCAGGCTGGTCCCAAACTCCTGACCTCAGGGGATCCTCCCCAACCTCCCAAAGTGCTGAGATTACAGGCGTGAGCCACCACGCCCAGTCTTAAAATTACTTTTATAGATACATGGTCTCGCTACATTGCCCAGGCTGGTCTCAAACTCCTGGCCTCAAGTGATCCTCCCACCTCAGCCTCCCAAAGTGCTGGGATTACAAGCATGAGCCACTGCACCCAGCCAAGTTCTGTTTAAAATGGAAGGGGCAGGCCACATTTTAATACATTTTAAAGTGGTTTCCACCCTGGAAGATTAAAAAGTAGAGACAGGCTTCCCTGCCCGAATATTTTACTTACGTTGAACATCTCAATCCCAAGCCAAGATAATTACAGTACAACAAAAATAATGAAACAGACCTACAACTGGCAGAGAAACAACAATTTTTAGCATGGAAAAGATAAATCATACTTGAAATCTACTTGAATCAGAAAAACACAGTGATTGGTAACCCAGCACAGTCCCTATCACATCCATCCAAACACTATTGCAATGATCTGGGGTCCTGAGCACGCTGACATGTCACCTTTGGCTTGGCCCATGGGCCTTTGTGCCACTTCAATCTTGGTCATTTTGTGTTCCTCCAAAAAGTTCAGAAGCCACATCTAAAAAAACTGCTATCACCTGGATCCCTTCCAAACCAAGAACTAGAATTTCTGTCTTTTCACGAACAGTTACAACACAGAACTGGAGTAATTTTAGTATTCAATCAACAATTTACATTTGACAAAATTTTAGGTATTTACTATGTGCCAGGTGAGCTGGCTCTATGTAAATATAATAGACTGTAAAGAAACTTAAATATTCCAGAGTCATCTAGAATACAGTTAATTTTCTGGTAATGTATTTCTCTACTACTGTATTTTTCAACTAGTCTCCCCAATATTAATAAAGATGGTATATATATTCTTTATCTAGATCATTAAAAAATCAGACAAGATTACAACTTTTCTTTGTGTTTGAATGAAATATACTTTCGTATATATTCTATTCCTCAGAAAAACATCGTTTTTATATTTTACAAAAATATAAAAGAAATTTCAGCCCAAATAATATTTTGAGATATACCATGTGAAAAACCTCACAAGAATACTTAAATAAAACCATAATTTTTATTACCAAAAATATGTTCTACATTGCAGCTAATTTTGAAATGAAGATAAACTGGATAACAGTTGATCAAATACATTAAGATCTTTCTTTGGAATAGCTAAATCTGTATCTAGTGGGCCATCTAGCTTTCCAACTTTCAGTGTCATAGTAAATAAGAAAAAGCACAAAAAACAAATACACCTCTGAAGTAATCTTGCCCAAAAACCTGTATTAATACTTGAATCTGATCAAGCCTCTGTATCTTTCAATTTAAAAAAAAAAAGCAGGGCACAGAGGAACATGGCAAGGACGCAGTCATCCAAATCCGGGCTCACAGGGTACTGCGCTACCTCATTAAGACTTCAGCCTCAACCCCTGAAAACTGACATCCAGTTTCCTACTCCGTGGCTACTGCTTTATGGCATTCTGAACACTGTACTGAAATTACATGTGTGTCTCCTGCTACAGCACCCGTACCGGGGAGCACAATCACATAGCTCAGAACAAGGCTCTGACGTCTGAATTAAAACCCCAGCTTTGCCCCCTGGGTTAACTCATTGATAAAAATGAAGAAAATATCACCTGCTGCTCAAAGGAATTTTAAGGATTCCATGAGAAAATATATGTAAAGCACCTAGCACAATTCTTGGCATATCTTAGGGAGTTAGTAACTAATGACTGAATAAATAAAAACCATAAGCAGCAAAATTAAATAGTGAATTTCATCTCTTTTGATTTCATCTAATCACCTTCTTACAGTATCTAATGAATGGTGAAATGCCAAAGTGACTAATGGTTAAAAAAAATTAGCAAACATAACAGGAATATTTTTTAAAAACAGGTCATCAGCTTCTAAATAACTGTGGCTGACTCTAGGGTAGTAAGGAATAATGTAATCACAGCAAACATCACCCGATGAAGAATGGCGTTATTAAGAGCTAAACCAGACCAAACCTAGTAAAAGCAATCAAATTTACTTCAACGAAAAGTTCTCAATATAATCATTTTCAAGCATAATTTTAATAATGTGGAAAACATTTCCAAAATAAGTTTTTAAATGTCAGCATTACAATTCTGAGTCCTTTCAGTTTTCTCACTAAAACACACTAACAATAAATTAAATCAACCAACTTTTCCATCTGAACAGTAGGTGGCATAACTGACCTACTGTGGGCCAGCTGCTGCAGTGAGTGATAATGGTCATTTTTTTAAAAGCTCAGTATAACATCATTCAAAATTCTGACAATAATCATTTAAAAGTCCTAACTTGAAAATGACATTTTTCAAATAATATGAAAATACTTACATCTCAATTTGTCCAGCATTTTTCCACCACACATGGTTGCTAACATAGCTTTAACTGAAAATACCGTCAACTTGCCTCGGCCCTCACTGCAAAATAAATTATATTAGAAATAATTGCTATCTGAAACCACAAAAGGAGTCAAATGTATCACTAAATACTGAGCAACCAGTAAGTTGATTCCTGACCTTGTCTGTTACAACTTTATCACATTTGGAAACCCTGGATTTTTTTTTTTTCTTCATTTGTAGAATAAGACTTCTCCTATGCTAGGTGACGAATGCTAAAGCTAGCCTGAATTTTCTGGAAGTAAGTTTTAGAAACACTCTATGTAATTTCTATTGGCTATGTAGCAGAGGTCAAATGGATGAACCTGAAGTGAGTTTCCTATTAAACCCATTAAATCCACAGCTGCAGTTCTCAAGTATTCAAAACTGAGGGGCCACCTGGTTTGAATATAATTCAGAAAGATAACCTTACATCAGGATATTACAACGGTTTCTTGTTACACACTAAACAACAGGGTGCATCTTGCTATGAAGATTTTATAGTACACTCATCTTTGTTTTTACTGTAACAACCTTTATGTTACCACGTGTTTATTCTAAGAAGCTCAATCACACCTGTCTCAGATCTTCTAATACACCACTGTGAGAAAAGTGAAGAGGAAGGGATGGTAACATTAATTCTTCTTTAGGAACTGGAAAGATGAAATGCAGAACATAAATGAATCACCTAAAGTAATGCTGCACACCACCAGCAGAACCAAGATAGTATCACCAAGGCCTCTGACCCAGAGTGTCCATGGCTTCATTCATTCAACTACGCCCTGGTTTCACAGCAGATAAAAATTTCACTAGTTGGTTGTTAAAGTTACCACATGTAAGCCAAGAATGTGCTTTTTGTGTTAATTTTTAAAAGCCTGTGTTCACAATGTTTCATTGTAACTTAGAGTAAAATACTTTTGCAATAATGAGAGCTATACCATCTTTGTTTTGAAAAAACAGGTATCATCCTGTTTATATCCACTAATGGTTCTAATACAGGGTTTCCCATTTTCCACAGAAAGATCACACCTGAAAAAAGGCAAATAGCCTATAAGCTAGAAGAGTATCCGTGAAAACACCACAAGGAAATATCAACATTTGTTACAGCTGAGCTTTTAACTATTACATCTCCTTGAGTTTATTCGTAAAACAAAATAGGAATGCCCGCAACTAGCTAAAATTAGAATGGGTTTTTTAAAATATATTGTTCTTCAGAAATAAAGATACAGCTCCATGTACAAGGCAATATGGCACCCAGAAACAAGGCATATTCCTGCATCAAATATCTACTGCATTATGTAAGAAAAGCTGATGGTTATAAGATAGATCATTAGGTTAAAAGGAATGGGTTTCTAAGACTGACACAGAGCTTTTACAGTGGACTTTCTTTTTTTACACCAAGCACTTGAATGCTGAGTCTACATTTAAGCACACCCTACCTTATGGGACAAGTAGACTTTCCACTACTAAAGTACAAAGAAGGAAAAAAAAAAAAACCCATATATTTGCTTTCTCATCTTCTTTTGAAACTAGGATAGGGGCACATAACAGAGCTCCACCAATAAAATGCACTATGCTAGATTTCAAGGGGGGAAATGATTAACTTGGGGAAGCAAGGAACTCCAGAAGAATCCACGTGGTGGGGATGGCAGCAGTTGGAGCAGCCACACCCAGTGCTCTGGGGCAGCAGAGATAATGATTCTTGGGGGCAGCACCCAGAGCCCAGTGTCAGTGGTGTTTGGAGCACAAGCAGCAAGGTCTGTGGCCAGAGAGGTGTCTTCATGAGAGTTCTGTGCAATGATTTTGCACTATGTTCCTGGCAGTGTAGTTTTCAAGCCTACTTTCCCAGCCTACGTACAGAACCTGTGGGTCACCCTTTTAATTAATTAGCCAGAGATGGTATCTATTACTGACACCTAAGAACTCTGATGGATACAGCTTCTAACCTGAAGTAAAGTGGCCCACAAAGATGAAGCAACAAAAGAAACTATTGCTGAAGTCCAGAGTGGGATTAAGAATGCCTGATGGGCTGGGTGCCGTGGTTCACGTCTGTAATCCCAGCACTTTGGGAGGCTAAGGTGGGCGGATCACCTGAGGTCAGGAGTTCAAGACCAGCCTGACCAACATGGAGAAACTCCATCTCTACTAAAAATACAAAATTAGACAGGCGTGGTGGCGCATGCCTGTTAATCCCAGCTACTCAGGAGGCTGAGGCAGGAGAATTGCTTGAACCCAGGAGGCAGAGGTTGCGGTGAGCTGAGATCGCACCATTGCACTCCAGCCTTGGCAACAAGAGCGAAACTCTTTCAAAAAACAAAACAAAACAAACAAACAAAAACTTGTTATACATGTTGCAACACATAAAAATTTCCATAATAGAATGTATACACACACACACAAACATTAAAAATACCAAGGCTTAGGCCCAACCCTTAGAGATCCTAATTATTTGGCCTGGGGTGGGGCGTTGGCATTGATAATTCTTTTTTTTTTTTTTTTTTTGAGACGGAGTCTCACTCCGTCGCCCAGGCTGGAGTGCAGTGGCCGGATCTCAGCTCACTGCAAGCTCCGCCTCCCGGGTTCGGGCCGTTCTCCTGTCTCAGCCTCCTGAGTAGCTGGGACTACAGGCGCCCGCCACCTCGCCCGGCTAGTTTTTTTTTGTATTTTTTTAGTAGAGACGGGGTTTCACCGTGTTAGCCAGGATGGTCTCGATCTCCTGACCTAGTGATCCGCCCGTCTCGGCCTCCCAAAGTGCTGGGATTACAGGCTTGAGCCACCGCGCCCGGCCGGCATTGATAATTCTTAAAAGTTCCCCAGGTGATTCAAAACACAGCCAGAATTGAGAACCACTGACCCAAAACAAATCAACTTTATTTTAAAAAAGAAAAAGAAAAAAAAGACACAAGAGGAAAAGGGGAAGTGCATTCACATACACAAAATAGCCATGAAAGAAATACAAATGACTATTAAGTGCATGAAAAGGCACTGACTTTAATTAATTAAAGGAAAAGAAATCTAAAAAATAATGAGATACATCTGTAAATGTCCTAAGTTACTGTTTCCAAAGACTGTCCTCAGTCTAAGTAGTGTGAAGTCTGACTTAGGTGAAATACATTTTTGTTGTTGTTGTGTTTTTTCTTTTGAGACAGGGTCTCCCTCTGTCGCCCAGGCTGGAATACAGTGGCATGATCACAGCACACTGCATCCTCAACCTCCTGGGCTCAAGCGATCCTCCCGCCTTCGCCTCCTGAGTAGCTGGGACCACAGGCACGTGCCACCACACCTGGCTTGAAAGATTTTTAAAGACACAGTTTAGCTACACTTCCTTTTATTTTGTAATGTAATATTTATCACTTTCATAATTGATTACTTTTAAAAGGATCACTTTAAAGAGAGAGTATATGTGCCCGAAAAAAGTAAGTCATCTCTCTGGTTTTCCATAATTTTAAGCTCTAACCATGACCAACATTATGCCTTTAGTTAATTCCATATGGTATCATCCTTTTTAACTTTTCATTAAAATATAATGAACATACAGAAAAGTGCCTAATTCATGAATGAACTTTCACAAAATGTTCTCTCATGAACATTTAAAGTTCACTGAATGAACTTTCATAAAATAAACACCTAGGTAACTAACCAGCACTCAGGTCAAAAGACAGAACATTACTAGCACCCAGAAGCACCTCTTTCCTAAGCCCACTTCCCACCGTGGTAGGTTCTATCCTTTTGGGGTTGTTTTGTTTTGTTTTGTTTTAGACAGAATCTCTCTCTGTCGCCCAGGCAGTGGTGTGATCTCGGCTCACTGTAACCTCCACCTCTTGGGTTTAAGTGATTCTCGTGCCTTAGCCTCCCTAGTAGCTGGGATTACAGGTGCACACTACCATGCCCAGATAATTTTTTTTATTTTTAGTAGATACGGCATTTCACCATGTTGGCCAGGCTGGTTTAGAACTCCTGACTTCAGGTGATCCACCCACCTCAGCCTCCCAAAGTGCTGGGATTGCAGGCGTGAGTCACTGCACCCAGCCTGGTAACATCTATCCTGACTTCTAGTATCATAGGTCAGATTTGCCAGCAATTGAACTTCATATAAATGGAATCTTACAGTATGTACCCTTTTGTGTCTGGCTTCTTTCGCTCAACAAAATATCTGCAAGATTTATTATGTTGTTACATATATTAGTTCATCCTGCTATGCAGCATTCTGTTACATGAATGTACTGCATTTTATCCATTCTCTTATTAAGGGATATTTTCAAACTTCTCTATTTTAAACTATTCGATGAGCATGACAAACAAAACATGAGTCACTGCCTATATTATAGGTAGAAATAAATACTTGTTGACTTATTGATATTCCTTACTAAAAGAAAGAAAAAAAAGCTGCTTGTGAGTAAAAGTGAAACCAATGGCACAAGAACTAATAACATTCTAAGGATTATAATACAATCAGCCCTCAGTATCCATGGGGGATTGGTTCCAGGGCCCCTGCAGATATCAAAATCCACAGATATTCAAGTCCCCTCCAGAGCTGGCCCTCCATATCCGTGGGTGTCTGAATCCACACATGGGAACCTGCAGATACAGAGGGTCAAGGGGTACTGGCAATGCTGAGGAGTCTGAAAATAATCTAGAGGCAAAAGCACAGCACCTTGGAAATACCTTAAGGAAGAATGCCATCCTTAGGATCCTATCAACTTCTAAAGTGATTATATCTGGGAACTGTGGCGCATGCCTGTAGTCCCAGCTACTCAGGAGGCTGAAGCAGGAGAATCACTTAAGTCCAGGGATTTGGGACCAGCCTGGACAATACAGTGAGATCTCATCGCTCAAGAGAAAAATAATAATACACTAAAATAAAGTGATTATTGTTGGTCTAATACTTAACAAAGGAATTATTAAGAAAACATCTCTGGAATTATTTGGATAGACCAAGCAGAAGAATGAATGTAATTATTTCTTTCTCTCTATACCAAGTAGGCCCTTTATCAAAAGAGACAGCACATTATCTAAGCACAGAAAAAGGAGAGAAACAAAGG